TTAAGTAAAGGAGAAAGATGTATAAATTAAGTAAATCATGGCTTGTAAAACCATATAGGGAACTTATGTAAAACCATACTCCAAAATATTTTAAATGAGATTAACATCCAAACGGTTAAAAAATGTCACCGCAATATATCCGTTGCAAATTCACTCATAATTTTAATATCATTTGACATTAAAGTGTGCTCTTCAAATACTTCATTGTTGAAAATGTTTAGAGCCCCAGGTGGCAAAGAGCCGACGTCGAGGTCCTCAAACCTTCCCTTAAAACTTTTATCGATTGATAGTAAGAGTACTAATTTTACAGGTCGATATGCGAATAGAGAATTTAAATGAATATGTATAAATAAAAAAGCAAAATAGGAAATTTAAACTAACTATAAACCATTGGTACATAGTTACATACGCTTCTTCTTGACAATAATAAAATGTTAAATTTGAATTACACCCACAGGCCACAACAATCCGATTTTGTTATTATTTTATTTTCCCCGGCCAAAATCAAAAAATGATGCAAAGTTTTTCGTACGGGATTGAACGATTCGACCCAATTGGTTGATCGGACACCAGATCATATCAAGTTGATATTGTATTAGATACTTGATCCTAATAATTTGGAAGACACACACCTGTCGCTGACCTTCAGACTTTGCCTTGAGAAATGAAACAAGAAGGCAGTTGATGTGCAGCAAAAGATTTGAAAACAATATATCTCCGCCAAGTCTCCGGGAGGATTGTGCGGTTTTGTCCATGTTAGCGGTAGCCATGGCCTAATGTTCCGCTCCCTCCCTCCCACTGCTGAAATCTATGCTACGTACGAAGGTGGAAGCAGTTTGATGCTTCCTAGGAGTGCTACATTGTTATCCATTTTAAGTTCCATAGTACTGATTTCATCACAATTAAGAAAACCCTCAATTTCTGGATTCTGTGCCTCTGGGAAACATTGCCATCTCAGAGTTTGTGCAGAGTATGCTCTAGTCTCTACGTGTGCTTCGGATGAATATATTTTTTATTTTTGGGAGATACTTATATTATTGTTTAGATAAACAGTATGAGCATTTAGAAATTAGTATAGTTATTTTATCCAAAATCTAGCTTCTTATTAATTCTACGTATTAGTTTCTCATTTCCTGGTAAATTATTTGACTTGATCAGTTTGCTGGTGAGAGTTTTGGGAGCTGCACAATCAAGTGATCAGAGGTATGGGCCATGCTGGAGGCGGATGCTGTTTGCGTGGGGAAAAGGCATTTTGCAAGCTTTGTAATAAAATCGTTAATCGATGTTTTCCTGCTCGAGTTATTGGACTGATTGGGTTATCGCATAGTATTAGAGTTAATTTGGTCAAGTGGTCATGTGTTCGGATCTTTGCGACCCTAAATATTATCAATCTATTTAAGCATCAGATATGATGAACATGTACAAACTTCAAACCCGTTAATTGGATTCCGTTCCAATTGGTTTATGACAAGCTCAAGACCCTCCTTGATTCACCAACAACCTTATGCAATTCGACTGAGAAGAATCGTGATCGCATACGTATAGGGATAGGGAGTGTAATTATATAGCTGACTTTGTAACTAATTGTAGTTATGTTTTCGATTTTGGAATTCAGCAATTTTCAAGCATCCTATATCTAAAACAAGGATGACTAAATAGTAATCCATTTGTTGATTGTCATTTCTCATCTCCAACGGATTTTTTAAAGGTATAAAATTTTGTTTCGAATAAGCACAAGTAAAAGTCCCAATCTATGTCTATGAGTGTGTGAAATTTAAATTCTGCTAGATAATTTCTCGAGGGTACCTTTAACAGAAAAAAGCCCTTCATATGTTACCTTACCCACCCTATAGATTATTTGAAGGACGAAAAAGAAATGAATATCCTCCTCATTCAGTACTGGGATTGGGCTTGGAAGCTATGGATGGTGGGCTGGACCTCGTAGTTATGGGCCAATGGAGTGATACCATGACAGAAGGAACAACCATGGGCTTCGAATTAAGGGGCGGATATTCATTGTCCAATGAGGACAGGAAATACGGCTTTCAAGGGAACTAGCGCAGGGCCCGGTCTTTTGGTCGGAAGACCTAGATAATTGTGTTGTGTATAATTTTGCTCGACTTAAAAGTACGTAAGTGGTTGATAAGTTGATATTTAATAATTTAAGAAGGAACTTAAAATATTTTACAGATAAAATTTATAAAATCCCAAACAATATATTGAAAAAATTTCAAACATCATATATCTTCCTAATATATTTAGGCACTTTAAGTCAACTATGAAAGTCTTATCTATAAAAAAATTCTTGAAAGAATAACGTTACAGTTTCTTCCCATGATACATGCATTGCTGCCAACGATGGGGGATGATTATGGGGGAAGAGGAAAGGGATGAATGAGACTATTTTGGGGGAAGAGAAAAGGCGATGGAGCCATGGAGGGACCCCTTCCTATTATTTTATTATTATTTAATTTTAATGATTGTGAATTTTAATATTCAAGAGGAAACATTAATGTTGAAATTTAATTTTTTTTTAATTTTTAATTGTCACGTCACTCACTTAACAATAAACTACAAAAATTGACTACCACATCAGAAAAAGTTAACAAATTGACTCCCTGCTTCTCATTGTGATTTCATTGTTTTTTTTCCGGGATGTGATTTCATTGTTGATGTATAGTTTTACCCCCTTAAATTAATTGAAAAGTTGAAGAAGGTTAAGAGCAGCATGTGAAAAGTTGAAGAAGGTTCTAAGTGCAAACTCAGATGCACCCTTAAACATTGAGTGCTTGATGGATGAAAAGGATGTTAAAGGTTTCATCAAGAGGGAAGAATTTGAGAGGTTGTCGTCAGTTTTGTTGGAGAGAGTTGGTATTCCTTGCAAGAAAGTTTTAGTCGATGCAGCCATCTCTCTGAGAAGTATTCACTCGGTCGAGCTTGTGGGATCTGGATCTAGAATACCAACAATTGCTAAGTTAATAACTTTTTTGTTTGGAAGAGAACCCAGTCGGACACTGAATGCAAGTGAATGTGTGGCTCGTGGGTGTGCTCTGCAGTGTGCAATGCTTAGTCCAGTTTTTCGTGTAAGAGAATATGATGTAAGTGCTTTCGAAATCAGCTTGATCCCTTATAGTTTTCCTCTTCCAAAGTCGCATGCACTTGCTTATATTGGCTGTTCGTGTTGACTATCAAATTACTGCTCCTTCCCCCTTTTTGTGGATGGGGTTGTGTGCTTCTTTAATGCTTAGGTTCCAATGCTATTAAATTTTGCATAATTACTGTAGCCTTTGATGTATGCATTTCATCATAGACTCTAGCCCTTGTATTTCCCCCTGACCCACTCCGCAGACTATCACTGGGAATTGCAAAAGGGACTATATGGCATGTTATTTTGCTTGTATACATATGTGCGTTCAACGACAGTTCAGGAACTTCTAGCTGTGTGGTATGCAGGTTCAAGAGTCGAATCCTTTCTCCATAGGGTTCTCATCAGATGAAGGCCCAATTTGCACACCCTCATCAAATGGGATATTGTTTCCTAGAGGCCTATCCATTCCAAGTACCAAAGTCTTGACATTTCAAATGAGTATTCAGTTTCACTTGGACACTTTCTATGCTGATCCAAATGAACTTCCAGCTGGTGTGTCTTCCAGGATATGTACTTTTACGGTAAGCTTTCTTGTCACTAATGTCGAGGATATGGGAAACTCTTTGGTCTGAATTTAGTTCTTCTGCCTTCTCATAAAGATGTGGTTACTGGTCTGGACTCCCATTGCATACAGTTTTTGCCTTGTATCTTTTGGTCTCATGATGATCACTATATGCTCATTGTGTTTACCTTTTCTTTATCCGTTAATGATGCACAATTTGTGTTGTTTTCTTGTTGCATTTTCTAAACACATCAGTCTTTGATTCAATGGTTATGATGGTACTTTTAGGCTTCGAAAATGCCAGAAAAATCATGCTGGTTAAGGATATTTTAATTGCGACTGTCCATATTTCTAACCTTTGAAGCCTTTTTCGTGACGGCGTCCATATGGTTGGCAAGCCAATTATGGATGGACATCTGGGAAATGAGAGTATTCTACCATCTGTGATTGAGATATTAGGATGATATACGATTCAGATAGTTAAGAAGAGGCCCCAGGACTGATATATGATTCAGTTAGTTAAGGAAAGTCTCCACACACTCCCTAGTCCCTAGGCACATTTTCGTCTGCTTTAAAATCTGTTTGGAGAGCGATCATACAGCTTTTGGGCGCTTGCTGAGGGAAGAGATACAAGAAAGACTTCTTGTTGCTATGTGCATGGATTAAGGATCGAAGTGCCTTTAGATGTATGGTTCGATGGTGGTTAAGCACAGATAATATCTGTTAGTATAACAAGCAGCCACTTTCTGATGTCTATTGAAGGGATTTGTTTGATACATTATGCTTGTAACTTTCTTTTCTATGCTTTCACATTAAATGCTTCACCGTTGATTTTGCATTTTGGACTTCTCATTCTCATGGATGGTTCCTTTGTCAATGAACTAAGGTAATCTAAATTCTTTATGTAGATCGGTCCTTTACAAGGCTCCAGTAATGATAAGGCAAGGGTAAAGGTTAAAGTCCAGCTTACTTAAAGATATGAGAAACAATTGAATCTTAACATGCTTATCTTGAAGGTTGTTAGTGGTCATGGTGGTGATGACGTCGGTATGCAGTCTCCATCTTCCGATTCTTCAATAAGTTCATTCACATTATGTAATTCGTTTATCATCCCTGATGTTTATGAAGACATCTAGTCTTTTTGAATGGAGGCCAACATGAAGCGTTCTTGTATTTGGCTTTTTGCATAGGTCATACTGTATTGACTTAATCTATCGGGGCATAGGAATAAACGAGACCAACTGTATCTGCAGGCAGATGGTTCGAGAGATAGAGGCAACCGTAGGATCGAGATACCGGTGAGTGAAATTGTGTATGGTGGAATGACAATGGCTCAGCTTTCAGAAGCCCATGAGAGGGAGGGAACTTGAACTCACTCAACATGACAGAACTGTGGAACAAGCCAAGGAAAAGAAAAATGGATTGGAGTCGTATGTCTATGAGATGCGTAATAAGGTACAAATTAATTGGTATAAGAATGTACAACTTAGAAAGAGCGGGGAGGCCGTTGTGAATTTTAAGAGTGCGTGTCAAGGAGAACTATTTGTGTATTTTAGTTTTACATCTGTCCTCGATTCGCAGATTTTAAAGATCAATAATCTGTGACATGTGCAGCTTTTTAACACATTGCGGAGCTTTGCTAGCGATGACGAAAGGGAGGGAATTTCAAGGAGCCTACAAGAGACTGAGGAATGGCTATATGGAGATGGAGATGATGAAACTGAGAATGCTTACACCACAAAGATGCAGGACTTAAAGCATGTAATCTCGCTTTTCTTTAAGCTTTGTCCTCGGAAAGTTTTTACTCTTTTGGCTGACTTTTTGTTAGGGCTGGGCATGTGGGCGGATCATCCGCGGGTTTGGGCCGACCCACCCGCATTTGACCCGAATTTCGTTAAGTGGGTGGGTCTGTGGGTGGGTGACGGGTTGCTCTGGGAGCCATCCGCCGGGTGGTGGGTGGGTGCGCGGGTGACCCGCTCAACCCAACAGCCAAAAGATCAAAGTCATTGGCGCTAGAGAGGGGAGAGTGGAGACGTTAGACATAAATTAGGACGGCTCCTGGAGTTTGAACCTCAAAGCCAACCTTCCAAATAGCGATCCCTTCTTCTTCCCTTTATTTTTTCCTCTAATTCTTGTGCCTAGATCACTGCTCTTTCCTTTGTGGAATTATTTTCCTTAGTTTCTTGCACCTGGTAATCATCTTAATCTGTAGAAAACTCTTTCATAATAGAATTTCTAGCCAATTTAAGAACTAATTCGACATTTTTTGCCGCCCTATTTCATCTTCTTGTTTTCCCCGAGAACTCTCTTCACCTATTATCATGTCAAGTTGACTCCTTTATATTGTATACATTGTGATGTGGGTAAACCCACAAACCCACCCGCATCATCCACCATCCGCCCGACCCAACCCGAGACTAAATGTGGGTGGGTGGTGGGTTAAAAATTAGCAATCCGTTTAAGCGCGGGTGGGTGCATTTTATGGTCAAAATCCACCCGACCCACCCAATGCCCACCCCTACTTTTTGTACCTCAATTTGTCATCAGTTGGTAGATCCAGTTGAGAACCGATAAAAAGATGAGGAAGCTAGAGCATATGCCACAAGATAATTGCTCAATTCCATTGCAGAGTTTCGAGCTTCATCAGAGTCTCTTCCAAATGAGGACAGAGAGCTGGTACGATAACATAAGAGACGAGACTTGCTCACATGAACTGAAAACTTGACCAATTCATTACTGGAATTATCTGTGGGTTCCCTTGATTTTGCAGATAATGAATGAGTGTCATAAAGCAGAACAATGGCTGATAGCAGGAACACAGCAACAAGAATCCATGCGCAAAGACATTGACCCCGTGTTATGGTCCAGGGATGTGAAGAGCCAAGCCGAGAACCTTAACTCATAACTTTCCATTTCATCAAATTTCACTTGTGGATGGCCGACGACGTGCCATTTGTAAATCTTGATTGATTGAATTTTCAGGACATGGAAGCACATAGTGAGGAAGAGGGCTTCACCAACTAGTTCAGGAGGCAGCAAGGGTTCAGATCGGTAAAACAACAATGGCCAAAGCGGTTGAAGACTCTTGCAGACAGAAGTTCTCCATGGACGGAATCAAAGCATTCCACATTGTCATACCGATCCTTGAAATTTTGCATATTTTCAAAGCTATAGAAGTTAGAGAAAGAAGAAAACAAAAACATGAAAAAAGGCAAAGGAAAATTTGCCCCTAGAAAGATGTTGCCATCTCTTTACCAGTTTCTGTGGCAACTCAATGCTGCAATTCCACAGCAGATCATGAAAAACTAGGGTCAGCAGCAGCCATAGCATTTTTAACCGAGAGTTTGCACGTTCTATTGGCTTTCATTATGCACAAAATCACCAAGGAATTTTGATTTGTATAATGTAGAATCTGCAGAAATTGTGCCGATTAATTCTTTGAACTCTCTAGTGATTTTGGGTGCTCCCCATTTATTTGTTTTCTTGGCCATTTTTGGACAACACTATAAACGAATAACATGATTGAAAAGCTTGCAACTTTCTGGAGGCAGAGGAGAAAAGCAGAATATGGGAAAAGGAAAGAGAAACGAATTGGATATCACACAGCTCTCCAAACTTCGTGCGATGTTAGACTGCGGCAGCTGGTAAGATCCCCTAAGTTTCAGGCTTTCTTTCTCTTGCCGGTGGCTTTCCTTTTCGTATTTCTGTATCCTCCACTATCCTGCGGGCAGCAGAAAATAAGGGACAGACAAGGGAGAGGAGAAACCCAAGCAAAAAGAGAAGTCTTCTGAAGAATTACCCTTTTGAAAGTGCCTGTAGGCAGTTTGCCCAGTAAGCTCCTGACCGTTTCTGGAGACGTAAACCTGCAGTGAGAGGAAGGAGTTTACAAGTTGCTGCTGGTACCAGAAAGCTTGAAAATGTGAGGGTCAACTTGTCGAATATACCTTTAGTCCTTCTGAAGATGTAAACCAATGACCAGCAGCAGTAGCTTGACCACTTGCCTGAACTCGTCTTTGACCGGCGTCCTTACGAAGACTAGCACTTGTTCTAGGGTCCACCCAACCCTGAGAAGCTGCTGCATTAGCATCTGATTTCCTTGCTCTCTTTCTTAATTTGGACGTTGATCCCTTCTCCAAGTTGCTTCCACCAGTTCCCTTGTTTTGAGGGGTTCCCCCAAATTGACTCCTGAATTGATCGAGGCACAAAAAACATCAAATTGATAGTAAAACAATATGCTCCAGCAGAAAATATGAATGAGCCCCAATATGTGCAGATCAGTGAGTTACATGTAATCAATAACTGATTCACTTGGCGGCAGATTCCTTCGCGCTCTAACCACACCAAGGGGGAAAAAGTGGGTCAAGCGATTGCAAACCAAGTTCTGAATCCTGGCATCATCATTGAAGAAATAGTGATGGGCTGGCGGAATAGGGTCATCTACGTTCTAGCATTGCTCAAACTCTCCCATGGCATTTTGATTCGGGTCATGACCTGCTCTGGTACTTACATGCTCTTGAGTTTCACGTCTATTAGCAGCTGCATTCTTGTTTGTAACAGACTGGAAGTACTCGTTGCAGAACTCATCTAAAGCAGGTGTTCCAATCCGAACATTCTGCAATGGACTGAAGTCCTTCCACAGGTCCTCCATCTCTTTCCCAGATCGAGACCCGACATTTTCAGGCTTTCTGTTCACGTTATTGCCACTAGGAGTAGGCTCCTCATCGGAGGAGATCAACTGAAACCTTCTTAGAGGACTGGTAGTCAACTTTGGGAACACCAACCCACTGTGACTGGTCTCCAAGCTTGATGAAGCCGGTGTCTTGAGAGGCATCCCCTTTTGCTTTGCCACTGACGACTGCCCTGATGATTGACCGGTTAATACTCCTGACCCACGAAGTGTAACTTTTGAACTACTACTACATACAGAGTTGTGCTGGCGTGACGGAAGCATATCTGTTATTCAAAGGGGAAATTGGGGGAAATGATACACCTTTTTTAAGTCCTGATATCTCTCTGGCCACATGCACAAGAAAACCCTAATTGATAAGCTAATGATCGATCGGATTCTCAATTCAATCGAGGGTTCTAATTTCACAATTGAATAAGAAGGATAAAGGTCCGAAATTTACCTGCGAAAAAATCGTCGCCATCAGAAGAGAAATCTTCAATATCGTTCTCACTGGGAGCGGAACCCAGTTCTGGTCCCAGCTTTGCTCTCTGCTCCACAGTCGCAGGTCCTCGCCTCGGGCGCTTGAGAATCCGCGGAGCTTCTGCCGGACCAGAAACCGGAGTCGCCTCCAGCTCATCTTCTTCGTTTTGTCGCTCCTCCTGGGAATCAATGACGAGAGAAGCTGCGAAATCCTTGTCCTCATCGTGTTCTTCCGGCAGTGCTCGGCAGCTCGGCGGGAGGGAAGGCGACGGTTGAGGAACTACCGATTCAGTTTCAGCGTCAAAATTGAGGTCGAGGTCGAAGCCAAGAGAGAAGGTCGGGGGTTCGATTTCCGCCATTTTCGGGTGCTATGGCAGGAGGAGAGGAAGCGAGTCCGGAGAGAGCTAAAAAGAAATGGTGCGACAAGACTTGAGGGTAGAAAAGGGCGGGCGAAGTTTGGTGGCTGGTTTTCGAATTTTTGAAATTGGAGGCAAATACATTTTCCATCAGAGCAAATCTACGTGTAATTAGGAATGACAATGGGTTGGGTTTGCCTAAACCATCTTTCCCCACTTTCAAATAAGTAACTGTGGAAAAGGGTCCTGTCTTTCATTAAATCGCTTTATTAGTCATTATAGAAGATTATCCAAATCCGTACCCGCCTCATACCCATGTGGGGGAAAGTTTTGCAAACCCATCTCCGTACCCATAGGTAATACCTGCCAATTATAACACTAAATAGACCTACTATATTATTAAGCTAACAAAGATACAATCATTCTTAATATGGTTCAAATTATATGATCCTAAAACATCTATTAATCAATATGATAGAGCACAATGTTTTCCAAATTATTAGTTTCTAACTCTGATACATCTGCTAAGTAATACTTAATTAATGTAATTATCTTTTTAACAAGAAAGTAAAGTGAAAGAATGAAGGGAGACTTGACGTAAATGAATTTGATTTGGATTTGGGTGACCACTCAATTGCATTTCTATTATATATTGTCTTAAGTTACCTTTATTTTCATTGATAGGTTTCAATTTTATCCATGTATTTTTTATGGGCTTAATTGCAAGTTTGGTCACCCGAATTGCTTAAAAATTTCACGTTTGCCACCCGAATTGATTTATTCCATTTATAGTCACTCGAATTAGTTCAACAGTCCAAGTTCGGTCACTCTCCGTTAACCTCCGTTAGACTCCGTTAATGACGGCCGTTAAGTGATGACGTGGCTAACAGAAATACACAGTCATCACTTTTAAACATTAAAAAAAGACGACCCGACCCGACCCGACCCGCCAACTCAGCCTTACCCGCCAACTCAGCCTTACTTGCCCAACCCAAGAACCAACCCAATTAATTCACCCTAAACCCAGACCCGAGACCCAACCCCCCTAAAAATTAAATCGCAAATGGATTAGGGAAATGCCCTAACTCCATCTTCATCCTCTCACCCGCGATTGCTGTTCTTAACTCCATCGAGAATCGCCGTCGCAAATGGATTAGGGAAATCGCCATCGACAACCAGAGTTGAACGCTAACGACGCCAGTATTAGTACAAACCCTAGTACAGTCAATTCCCCCAATTAAAAAATTCAATTCCAATAGCTGCAGCCATGAAAAGAAAACTGGGAGGAGGAGGAGGATGGGGAGGCACCAAGATGGGATTTGGAAGACGACTTCCCGAATTCATCACCGGCAGCTCTTCCAAAAAATTCACAGTCACGGCGGCGGCCGCTTTCATCGCCCTTTCTCTTGTTCTCATCGCCACCGTTTGTTCTCCGATCTCTTACTTTCCACTGAAATTCGCCCTTTTGGGCTCGACGCCACCGGAACAAACCTGCGAAAGCCGGGAACAGAGGAGCTCTTACCTCAAGCACCGATCCCCTGAACTGCCTCCCTATCTACTCTCCAAGCTCCAAGAATACGAACGCCGCCACCGCCGCTGCGGCCCGCTCTCGGAATCGTTCAACACGACTTCACCCCTCGGAACCCACAACGATTCCGCCGGAGGCGACTGCAAATTCGTCGTCTACACGCCTTTGCAGGGGCTGGGGAACCGGAACCTGGGTCTCACCTCGACTTTCCTCTACGCTCTGCTCACGGATCGGGTCCTTCTCCATCCCTTCGACGGCGATTCTCGATGGAGTTAAGAACAGCAGTCGCGGGTGAGAGGATGAAGATGGAGTTAGGGCATTTCCCTAATCCATTTGCGATTTAATTTTTAGGGGGGTTGGGTCTCGGGTCTGGGTTTAGGGTGAATTAATTGGGTTGGTTCTTGGGTTGGGCAAGTAAGGCTGAGTTGGCGGGTAAGGCTGAGTTGGCAGGTCGGGTCGGGTCGTCTTTTTTTAATGTTTAAAAGTGCTGACTGTGTATTTCTGTTAGCCACGTCATCACTTAACGGCCGTCATTAACGGAGTCTAACGGAGGTTAACGGGGAGTGACTGAACTTGGACTGTTGAACTAATTCGAGTGACTATAAATGGAATAAATCAATTCGGGTGGCAAACGTGAAATTTTTAAGCAATTCGGGTGACCAAACTTGCAATTAAGCCATTTTTTATGTGTGAAGAAATATTCTTGGTGGGGCGAGTATGGCGGTATGGTATGGGGTGGGGGGGGGGGGGGGGGGAGGTGAAAACCATACCCGTCCCATACCCATCAAACTTTTTGCGAGTTTTACCCATACCCGCCCCAGATCCAGTCAAAGTGGGGATTCCCCGCGTTGACTGCGTGGGGGCGGTCGGGTACTCACGACCATGGGTTTGATTCTCATCCCTACGTGTAATTACGCTGAATTTTAACTTAGATATTTTAAATCTTCAAAGATATGAAATCTTTTGTAATTAGCAAGGTTGTCAACCTAATTTAGCTTGTTGGCCTGATCGAGTTAGTGGATTAAGGGTTAATGGGTTGATCCATTTTGCTCGATTTAGCCCGGATATAGAAAAATAATTATATTGTGCATACATATATAAACTATATCATATCTCATCTAACATATAAATAATAACATATAACATTAAACTAAAATAATAGCTCGTACTTGATTCCAACATCGTAAAACAACAACACTTAAATCCCCAATATACTTGTTAAAGCGTTATTATTTCATTAAGTTTAATATTTATTTAAATAATTATAAGAATACCATATATATTAATATATAAGAAGCCAAATTTACATAGTACCATTATTTGTTTTAAGGTAAAAAAAGGATATTACAATTTAAGGTTCAGGCTAGCGTACGCCCGGGCGTACGTTAGACTACCGTACGCCTGTTTGAGTTTTGCTATTTAGATCATGAATTAACCAGAGTTTTGGGCATGATACTATACCCTAACCACTAATGGATAAACCCCAGTCCCTAATTTTGTAACCCAAATCATGATATTCGTTTAATCTTAAAAAGTAGATCAACAATAATTTCAACGAATCAGAATCATTGATTTTCATTTCAAGATTAAACGAATATTATGCTTTGGGTTAGTGAATTGTGGACTAGGGTTCACCCATTAGGGGTTAGGGTATAGTATCATGCCCCAAACTCTGGTTAATTCATTGTCTAAATAGCAAAACTCAACGAGCGTACGGTAGGCTAGGTACGCCCGGGCGTACGCTAGCCTTTGCCTACAATTTAAGTATAATTCCATTATACGTTAATTTGAGTTTCCTTAAAAGTTTTACTTTTGTTTTCAGAAGTAAAAAAAAAAAAAGATTCCAATTTTGGTTAAGATAATTGCAGCGATGAAGGGTGGGCCCACAGGGCCTCCTTGCGTTGGCCAAATTGAACCATCCAACTCCACCTATCATATGATGATCACATCCTGATCATATCATGGGGTAGTCAAAATTTTGGAATAGATGACAATAACAGTGCGTATGATGGTTTTGATATGGGTGCCATGGGTCCAAAAATTCAATCAACATGACCCTTCTTAATTGCTTTTAATTATTATAATTAAGTTGGCCTTATAAAGTTATTTAACTCATTGTATTTAATCGATGTAGTACAAGTTAAATTTTGGTATAAACAGATGCGGAGACCAAAATAGACTCAAAGTAGAATCCTCACGATCCATTGGACCTTTGTCGAAGAGCAACTTGACAATGGCAGCTACAGTTAGTTAGTTAGTAATTAAGTAGGTAGACCAATCAACCAATTCCAACGTGCTTAATGAAGCGATTTGCATACATTGATATTTTGGGATCACAGTCACATATGTACTTTTCCTGAAAGAACACAAAAATTGCCAGGTTGTTGGTGCTGCGCAATGCGCGTATTCATAAATCATAATTCCCTCTCCTTGCCCCTTTTTGTTTCCACTTCTGACTAATTTCACCTTTAATTAGTAGCTTCAAACGCAATATTCTCAGCATTCATGAAGCAGAAGGGGGGAAAAGGACCATCTTGACAAAAACAAAAAGAACAACCATCACAACAATCAGCCTTTAACAAATGACCACGTAGATGAAAATCAACAGGACAAATTAGAATCCATAAAGTAAAAAGGATTAAAGAATCAAACATACTCCAAAAATGATATTAAATGCAATATAATATATTTCTAAAAAAGCGTGCCATTTGACGAATTAGTTCATGATATGGTATTAGTGTTTGCAAACGCAAACACTACGAAGTCTTGTATGCAAATTTCCATGATCCCCATATTAACAATTGATTAAATAAGCCAGGAGCGCGAAGGAGAGAGAAAGAGATGAGAGAGAAAGAGGTTCGCAGAGAGTTTCTCAGAGAGAGGGGTAAGAGAGTTGAGAAGGGCAAGAGCGCGAGCGATTCAGAGAGGGATAGAGTCCCGGGTAGAGGGGGACATAGGTCGTTTTCTCATTCTTGCAGGTTCCAGGTTCCGGAGCGAAAGTTCGGCGGCGACTCTTCTGGAAGGTGTTGGTGCGCGGCACGGATGGGATCCAGACTGGTCAGGCTAAGCAAGGGTACATTTGGCGGTGAAGTTTGTTACAGGATTCAGGTCAATGATAAGAACAGGCGATGGTCAATAGTGTTGGATGAGTGTCAGCTTGCTTGGCTTCAAGGGGTACTCCAAACGGCGGCAATGAAGAATTGGAGTTTCCCTTCTGGGTGCTTGAAAAAAAGTGGCAGGCGATCAATACACGTGGGGGTTAAGCATAGCAGACAGGGTGATTACCTGCAAATCGCTGAGCAGGGTGCAAACAGGAAGCCATATGTAATTCTCGTCCCCTGTTCTGGGAGTCGTAAGGGCTGGGCAGGTCTTGTCTCTTTATTGCAGGATTTCTATCGCTTTGAGCATCGGCTACGGGTTAAAGAAATGGCAGGTGATGGGTCGGCTGCCGCTGTGCCGGAGGCTCCATCTCCGC